TATATATATATATATATATATATATGTATATATATGTATATATATGTATATATATATATATGTGTATATATATATATATATATGTGTATATATATATATATATATGTATATATATATATGTACACACATATATATATAGACACACACACACACACACACACTCTGTGTGTGTGTGTATTTATTGTTTAATTATTACACATATCTATGGCAAACGCGTTTACGTGTTCCAGTTGAGAAATATATCTCTTTGCAATTATCTCAGAGATCATATTATACGCGCGTCATACACAACAATGCTAAACTTTGCAACTTATTGTAACTTCTATATAACTATACAGTTCTCATATAGTTCGTAGCAGCGCATTTCAAATTCAACATAAAATCACTGATGTAATATATGAATATCTCTCGCGTATTTACATTGCGTGTCGTTCAATTAAATTAGAATAAATAAAATTCACATTGCGTGTCCTCGACGATAAAATAAAATCGCGACGAAATTTGTGCAGTGTGCAGCTCTTCTCTCTCTCTCTCTCTCTCTCTCTCCCCCCTCTCTCTCTCTTTCTCTTTCGCATGATATCCTGTGCTGTTTTACATATATCGCCGAAAATCGCTTCTCCTGCTTCGTCGCGATCGTTCGCGGCACTTCTCTTTGGTCGCGTAATTAGCTACTTATAGCGAACTAAAATCTAAACCTATCTACAACTAGCGCACGGCTGTCGGAGAAGTGATCTGCCGGTGAAAGTCGGAGTATCTACAAACTTATCTGCGTGTCAATTGAATGCGAGTCCGTTTTAGGCATTTAGTCCCGTTTATCGCCACCCGGTCTTCGTGAAAGTTAGCTTCATGAATGAACGTTAACAGCCTTCGAGATGCGATCGGTATCTCGCGGGAAAAAACTGTCGTGTTACAAAACTGGAAGTCACAAGTGTGCACACGAGGCTCCTCTTCAGACACACCTTAACATTCCGGCCGTTTGGATTTACTACGAATTGTCGCCTTACGCGCATATGCAATATGCGAAGTATAAGGTTGAAAATAGCGCGAGTAATCTTAGTCGCAATGTTAAGGTATGTGTGACACGTGGTGTACTTATATCGCTTGCATCATCGTCTCGAATATCGCCTTACGACTCTATCGTGTACCACGTGCACGTCTCTACATTGAGCAGCACGGTCGACCGATCGAGAAATTGCGGGTTAAATTCCGGACGAAAGACGAGATACGCGCGAATGTTCCAGCCCGCTTCGACAATTTCATTCGCGTTGCCGTGTATAATAATATCGGGGTCAAATTGATAAGGCAGTGAGATGTTTAGTTAACGAATCGTCAGTCTCTAAACGAGGATGACTACGTCGCGAACGCCGAGTCGAGTGCATCAGGAAGTCTGGTGAACTCTACTTTTTCGTTGTGATCTGCGCGGATCATCGTCTATGCGAAGGTCGTTCTCTGTCTCTCTCTCTTTATCAGGGAAGGTCACTCTGTGCTTCCGGACCTTTCCTAGGACGTGTGAAAGGTACGCCGCCGAAAGATGAGATTAAATATCGAGCGTAATCGTCCCCAGCGGCTGGTCTTGCGTATCGTCACGCCGCGTCTCTCCTTGGCGCGAATCTGCCTCACTAGCGAGTAAAACGCGTCGTCTACGAATTGCCTGAGCGCGGCCGACGTCTCGTAGAACGGACAGCCGAGCTCCTTCGCCAGCGCCTTGCCCTCCTCTGTGCTCACCTGCGAAACAAACTACGTGTCACGAGAAGATAAAGCAGTATAAGTTGCCGAGATTCAGAACACATCTATTGGTACCTTTCGCCGTTGCTGTAGATCAAATTTATTGCCGACTAGTACTACAGGAATCTCCTCGTTAGCGCGCACACGCGATATCAGCTTCTTGTACTCCATTATCTCTTGGAAGCTGTGCAGGTCTGTCACCGAGTAGCATATCATGAAACCCTCGCCGCACCTCATGTATTGTTCGCGCATCGCTGTAAACTCCACCTGTACACAACGCGAATGTCAGTGATCCCTATGATCGTAATTGCACGCCAAATGTTCTTGACAGAGATGCATCGATGCAGTACATAAAGCTCGTAGAATTATCAAATAAAATAGGACAAAATACGAGTTCAGGCGCAAAAGTAGTAATGCAATAAAATCAAATGAAATATTGGTGATTATTCTCCAGTGTGGGAGAAAAAATTTTTATTCAATCAATGTAGGAGATTAAATATCATATTTTGTCCTACTTTATTTGATATGATTATTATCCAGAGTTCCTTTTTTAACAATTTAAAGCCCATAGAGTTTATATCAGATTTAGTGTTAGAAACTGAAGATTAAAGCTTGTTTAATTGGAACAAACAAAATCAAGATTTAAATTGCTTATATATAATTCATGGATTTCAATCTCTAATCAGCAGCTCTCAATTTCCAGCACCTAGTCTGATACAGACTTCAATTGATTTTAATTTCTGATCCACAACCTTGCCGATACCAAGATTATGGGCTCAATGTTCAGATTGTCATAACATATGCAGAAATGTCAAACCTGTCCAGCTGTGTCTAAGATATCTAGTAAAGCTGGTTCACCATCAATAACTGCTTGTTTTTGATAGGAATCCTCTGTAAACAAAAAATATAAACAAAGAAGTACTTTCATACTCCCAGTATAGATCCCAATAAACTTTTCTTTCAAGTATGAAAAAAGTACACAACTCACCTATGGTAGGATCATGATAATCCAGGAAGCGGTGATTGACGAATTGCAGAGTAACGGCTGAAAAATGACAACTGCTGTATAATAGGTCGTTCTCCTTATGAATTCTCAGCAGTTAAGGTGGACAAACATTCACAAACATTACTTCCATTCACCGACTAGCCAATGATACCTGATTTGCCAACACCACCATCACCCAGCACTACGATCTTGTACACCCTGAGTCCACCTCTGGTAGTGGGTTGCGTGACCACCGGCACGTCGTCCTTGCCGTGGTAGGCGACGTTCCTATCCCGTAGGAGTCTGACCGGCGTCGTAATCATCGTGGTCGACTGATTGTACACATCGGCGTGCGTGTGTGTGTGCGCGCGCGTGTATGGTCGTCTTAACAAAAGGAAGCACCAGCACGTCGACACACTTGCCGTTCGGCGAGGCGACTGACACACTTGATCGCACCGTGTCGTAGCGCGACCGATTCAGCGGACACACCCGTGTCAGCGGCGGTAGCTACACGGCGAAGAACGGCGAAGACGGCGTGGCTCATGATTTCACGCGTCTTGCCAGAAAGAGGGAGAGAAGTATGACGCACCGTTCGCGATCGCCGGCGGCTACCGACCGGCGACCACAACTCTGGAGCTCTCAGATCCTCCTGGCGAGACACGACATGGCCCGAGAGCGACTGGAGAACGCGCTGACCACCGCCGGGGCGGATCGCACTTGACAGAAGAAGAGGAAGCGTGGAACGTGTGACAGCTGCGAGCTCGGGCGTGCGTGCGGCGAGCACGCGCGCGCGTCGTCGCCTCTCCAGGATCGTACCGTCGTCTGCTGCGACTGCTTGTTGTCTTTTTCGATTTTCTTCGATTCATACACTCTCCGGGAATTACGCGAATGATCTGCACAACCTTCCTACGACCCTTTCTTACGATTTTCTTAGGATGATCGCTTAAATGTGTTAGATGTTACTTAGGCAGCGTACATAGTTGAATACACACGCAATTTAATTGAGATTTGTCGTCAAAATCTTTTACAAAGTTTGACAAAATGCACCGTCTAAATAAAATATCGCGAACAAATGATGTTTGCATTTAACTTAAATCTTCACCATAAATATGCGTATCCACAGATTGCTGGGTGATTTTTTTTACAGAGTAAAAAATTCGACAGTGAAACAAGAATCGCTCTTTTTACTTTCGTCGCTCACTTAAAAAGTCAGCAAAGAAACTTAACGTTCGTTAAACAATAAAAAGAAAGCTCAGAAGTTCCTCTTTTAAAATGTATCTCATATATGTTTAAAATTAAAAAAAAAATATATATATAAGTTTTCAATATAAAAATCTAAATTAAAGTTAACACACACTCGATTGAGCAAGCACCCTTATTAATTTAGATCTCGTGTAAAAGATGACGTTGAGAATTGAACGAGACCGGCGTTTCTCATTTAATACGATATATCTTGGCGATGCAAATATATGATCTTAATATATCTGAAAAGTAGAAACTTTAAACTTTAAAATGTTTTTCGAATCATTTTGCTATCGTTATTTTTGTCAAGGTTACGACTTGTTAAGTTTTGCCAATGACTGCGTTTAGGAAACATAACAATTTAAAATAATGCTTTGTATTATTAGAATATTCTTTCAAATCTATTGTAGATTTAAAAGAATACTTCAATCGAAGGCTATACTTACTCAACGGTTGAACAACGTGTTTCTGAATGAATTTTATATCTAATATAAAGAACAAATATGACTGAACAGCTTTTGCATCACACTATTCAAGAAATAGAAACGGCGGCTGACCCATTATTGAGTCATACTACGACCTCAGTTGCTCGGTCTAGAGAACCTGTAATGCCCAATTTTTCACCTCCGGTTAACTTTGGTTGCTTTCCAACAAGAGACACAAGTCGATACAAGTATTATCCTATCTTTGTTACTCATTAAATGTGGAACAAAGATAGAATAATATTTGTGTCGGGAGCGTCCCGATTGACCACGGTACGATTGGACATAACCAACCGATGAAAAGAATTATCTAGTCAATTACTAGGTTGAACCAATCATTACAATCTGTGTCCTTTCGTATCGTGGTTAATCGGGTCCCACCCATTTGTGTCGATTTGTATTTCTTGTTGGAAAGTAACCTTTATCTGTCGGATAAATGGCTGCGTTCAGCAGAGAAAGCTGCTTTGCAACTGTTGTAAAATTCGTCAATCTGATTGGAGTATGCTTTTAATTTTGGTTGAATCCAAGAACATGTACCAATTAGATTCAGGTGCAAAGCAGCTTTCTCTGTTGAACCAATGTCAATGTCAGCGTGATTGGTTAATCTTGCCAACCATAAATATAATTGGTCAATTTCAATAGAATAACTGGCAGATAAAATTAACCGGAGGTGAAGAAATTGGACATTATACAGGGTTAGACGACAGTTTCTTGAAAAGTGGAGGGGATAATGTTGGTACCAAGAGAAATCTCTACACGATATAATTTAAAGATTCTGTTCTTTGTAATTGCACTACTGAACTAAATTGGTGCAATAAATTGAAATGAAGCAAGTATACGTTTTCTCACTCGGGTGTATATCAGTTGAACACGGGGCAATTGGACACAGTCCAATCACAAGTCGCTGTTCCAAGGGACCCTACAAATGTCTCTAATCACACGGTGCTGTGATTGGCTGTGTCCAAATGCACCGTGTCCAAGTGCACCGCTCCCTTCTCACTCTAATCTTTTGCATTAGTTCAGCAGTGCAGTTACAAAAAACAGATCTTTAAATTATATCGTGTAGAGATTTCTCTTGGTATCAACATTATCCCCTCCATTTTTCGGGAAACTGTCGTCTAACCTTTAAAGATCTGTTTTTTGTAACTGCACTGCTGAACTAATGCAAAAGATTAGAGTGAGAAAACGTATACTTGTCTCATTTCAATTTATTGCACCAATTTAGCAGTGCAGTTACAAAGAACAGAATCTTTAAATTATATCATGTAGAGATTTTCTTTAATACCAACATTATCCCCTCCACTTTTCGGGAAACTAACCATTATACAGAGAATCGCCAACTTGGTCACGTGACTAGCTAATTGGCTGGAATAAATATATACGGATTTAGATATTGCAACGCCAATGAAGAACAAATGCTCATATTATATATATATAATATGTGGTTTTGCATCGGCGTCGCAATGTCCAAATCCGTACATTTTATGCCAGCCAATCGCAGAGTAGTTGAGTAGCTGATCACATGACTAAGTTGGCGATTCTCTGTACTAGAGGTTTCTCTAGCTCGGTCTAGAGACCCTTCAAGAGAGACTAGACAACGCGACAACCAATCAATATGTTGCTTTTCCGTAGAAGAGCTAGAAGGTTATTACGGAAGGTTATTACGGAAAGCAGCATATTGATTGGCTGTCGCGCGAACTTCCGCCGCGCGGCAAGCATTACCACGTCCTGTGTGCAGGAGCCATAACCCTATTCGACATACGTACACATTAGTATACACTTTGTTCCAATCGAGTCGTGTACAACGTTACACTTTGTACATTTCTGTGTACGATATGTACGATGTATCAAGATGTATTAAGCAATTGGAAAACACCCAAAGCACATTTGATTTAGGGTGCAATTTATTAGACGCTACAAATACTTTGAAGCGTCGTATAGACCAATCATAGCTTTTCTTTAAGTGCTTCAAAGAGTTTGAAACGTCTACTGGATCGCGCCTTTAGCTTATTTTTGTAAATTTAGTTCCGAAATCTTTACTACGAGCCGCCACCGTAGACTGCGTTCGGAAACATACACTGTGTGCACACTACTAGACGATAGCCATTGGAGTGGGTGGGACCCACGATACGATTGGACACAGATTGTAATGATTGGTTCGACCTAGTAATTCACTAGATAATTCTTTTCATCGGTTGGTGTGTCCAATCGTATCCGTGTCAATCAGGACGCTCCCCATTGGAGTGAGCAAAATACAAGAGTGAGGTAAAAAGAGAGGGAGAGTATTCGAGTGACGTTTCCGAACACAGCCGTACATATCGTCCAATTGAGGTTGTGATAGATTTAACTTGAATTGATGTGAAATAACGGAACCTCCTGTATTTTCTTTTTCATTTCCATTCATTTTTTTTCTATTATATACACATATAACAAATCATACAGTGCCTTAAATTTTAAGACTTTTATATTATTTAGAAATAATTACACAAAAATTGTTACATTACAATTTATTTTTATTATTTGTATTATATAATATTGGTACATATAGGTTCTCTTAATTACATATTGCATAAATTAAATGCATATAAATTATATAATAATAAAATTTCTTCTCACACACACATGACAATTACGTGAATTTTGAAAATTTAGATTTCTCTTAATATCAAGTACAGTAACCTATGAATCTTTCAAATCTTAATAGACAATATCTAGGTCATAAATGTTGGTCTTATCATGACATTAACAGATATTAAAAATAATTATTAACAAAGATAATTGCCATATTTCAGTAACGACATTGCTTTGCAATAGTTCAACATATTTCTGAAATATGTTTTTACACTTAAATATAGATAGCAAATATATCTATATAAACCGAATTAAACATTCATTGTATTTTTAAGCCTATAAGCTTATAAAAAATATATGTAGAAAAAGATCACATTTCTCTGTTACAATATATGCACACACTATAATTGCACGATTGATAATTCTCTCTCATTGTTATATTTATTAGAAATTCAGTTTTATATTTGAGAAACACGCTTGACTAGGTCAAATAGCGGTTAAAATAATGTCCAATGACATTAACAACCTCTTGATCATAGCAAAAAATTCCTTTTACATATGATAATGATAATAATAATTCACTCGACTACGCATCACAATGACAAAAGCGAGTTATATATCAATATATCAGAAATTATTGTATCAGAAAGTTCTAGACATGTGCAGTGGAGTGTATGTATCTTGATTCATTATTATTTTTTGCAACGATCTCGTCTATTTATCTGTTTCATGCAATATTTAATACTGGATCAAACACACGTGCATAATAAGAATTTTCACCTAACAGTCAATACCCTGACTCTTTGTAACATAATTTGTACTTATGTGTAACACGCATATATGTCAGTTAGTGCAGATATCCATGTCTACACATGTCTATCGCAATTAAAATTAATCTCACTGTGAAGAAAAAAAACATTTACAAACGGCCTATATCATTGCAGAAAGTTTTACTGTAACACGCAACCGCTCGCGTTTTTCGGTTCCTTACTACTCTGATGAATCGCCTCCTCTTTAACAGGTGGTAAATTCTGCTCCTTCTCCGTTTTCGCCGCTGTTATTCCGGCCAACATTCTATACGTATCCAAGTTCCAAATAGGATTAGGTGACGGCATTTGGAAGTCAATTGGACTGACCAAACCATAGGTGGCTTTGGTATCCAAAGTTGGAACTTCTCCTGGTACCGTGTGATGATATCTAATATCGTTTGAAGAGATTAAAATTAATAAATCGTACTGAAACCTCATATATTGTGAAATATGTAAATAAATAAATAATGCAGTGGTTTGAAAACGATGAATAATGTAAGCGAGATAATTACATTAAACCATTCTCTCGATTGCACTTGTCGAGAGTGAGTTTCACCAACGGCGCTAAACGCTTAAACACGGCGTGCTGATCTGGTTTAACGCGAGGTGCGGGGCCATTCGTTTTCCCGTACTCTTGACACAAAGCTTTCGCCTTCTTCAAACACGTGTCGCTTTCCTGCATCGCTCGTATCGCTTCGCCGCACTTATCCATAGCTAATAAGTTTTCACCGCAGTAGTTGTAAGCCTGAAAATTCAGAGAGAAATATCTTCATGTATCAGGTGAACGTTTCTACAAGTCTGATCACACGTATAACTATTATTGATAAAGAAAGGCACTTTTTCTTATAAATATATGTTAACTTACATAAGATTGATAAAATGTTGCTTTAAGTTCTAAATATTTTATCCATTGAGCTGACATTTCGGCCTTGAACGGTCGAAGAGTATTAGCAGCATCCAGAAACAATTTACTAGTCTCATTGGCTAATGCTGATATCAAGCTGGAATTGTGTTTCAGCTCCACTGCCCTTGCTACTGTTACTGTGAGAATGATGGAGAAAACCGTATTAGTTTCTAATAAATTTGTTGAAATACATCAAGACAAGATACACAAGTACTACCTTCTTGCGCTTCCGCGGTACATTGATTAACATATGCGTTCAACACACGGGGATCTAAATCACTTCCTAAAGGAGGTGGGTTAGCCAATTGTGGCAAAAATTCAGTCTGCACAAAGGTAAATATTCCAGCAGCTCGTCTCAACATACTGTGCACTTCTTTAGCTTCATTCATTGTTATGCTAAGTTATATATTACAATAAAATTAGTAGGTCACTTTCTTAACTAGATATATTCTGTTAGAGTTCATTAAATTGGTTCATTAAAGTTCATTAAACTTACTCATCTTTTGCAGCAATCATCGCTGCATGTTTCATAAACCAAAGGCCTATGTTGACACTCATGTTGGCTGCTTCATAGACAGAATCAGCACTGGAGCTTCAACAGAATATTGAATATGGTTTAGAAATCATTCTAGAAAGATTACATTTCATATTTTCTTCGCATTTCAATAATTACAATGTGCTTCCACCAAGCAATGTATGGGTCCACTTGAATACAAGGACATTTCTGAGTTTGCTGGGATTGGGTCTGCCAACATGTTCCTCAGATGGATTAACTTCCCACAAAAATCCATACAACAGACTCAGATAGCTGTGAAATGCAGGTTCTATTGTGTCACTTGTATTATTTGCATTTCTAACTAGATCCAAAAGCCTGGCCCTGGACAGTTTCAAATCACTGGAAATATAAACATCACGTGATTAAATACATTTTTTAAAGATAAAATATATAAAAGAGAGAATATCTTATTAATATTCAAAATAATACTATACTAATATATATCATATCATCAATGTATGTTTTAATAATTGTATATTCCCTAATATCGTCATCAGAATAATAATGTGCGTGTTATCAGATAGTACTATACAATGATTTAGCAGGATCAGACGATAACAAATGTGCATTCATTAACAAGTGCGCAAATGCAGGTGCACCTGTGAAATTTCTCTAACCTGCAAAGTTTCCTGGTGGCGTCAGTAGGACTCGCGACTTTTAATTCAAACTTCTGATTCGTCGTCGCTTTCAGGACATTTCGATGAAACCAGTGCGCCATTGTCGTATCGTCCGAATCTCACGGCTCGATTAACTACGCGCGATCCGGTCGCGCCGACTTGTGTGTCACTTTTGACAGATAAGGTAAACGAAGCGACGCAACGCTGCGTTCTCAATGGAAGATACTCCACTCTCTCTCGTGACGCGTCACGTCCATATAAATCGCGACATATGTGGTGTGTGTGCGGATGTGTAGGTTCATATAATATCATACACTGCAAGATATATATGTGATAGTATTAGGACTGTAGTACATATCTCTCTCGTAAATCGTACGCTGTTACTTCGTTCCAGCGTTTGTTTGCGTGTGAACGTTCTCTCCATTCTTGTTTATTCCGATATTTTACGAAAGGTAAGAGCAATTATCGTAGAATAATTTTGACTTGCACATGCAGCTTTATCAGGGTGTACGCACACGCTGCAGGTGAAAATACAGAGACAAGATGAGAATTATTTCGCAACGAGTAGGCCGCACTCTCTCTCTCTCTCTCTCTCTCGCTCTTTTTGCTTTATATTCTAACTTAGATGCTAGGCAATGTAAAGCTGCAGAGATCTATTGCATGTATATGCAAAGATTTACTCTATAAGAGTATATTATACGTGGATCTTTCATGTCGTATATGAATAATTATTCGTTAGCATTCGATGTTTCCTAGTTTGTATTACCGTATGGCGGTTATGTAAACATTGCTGTAGGTATCAATATATCCTTGAATAAGAGTAATTACTTATTTGTAAGTTATAAAACAAAAAACCTACAAATAACTATTCATACAGCTGATTAGATCTTAAAATAAGACAAAGTTTGTATTTGTAGTAATGTAATGCACTAAAAAGATTACATATGGGTGTGTGTGAATATATCTTAAAGAAATTATATAATATAGTGTGACTTTTAATCTTTGATCTGTTCTTTACAGCTGCACTACTGAACTGGTGCAATAAGTTAGAGTGAGAAAACATATACTTGTCTCACTTTAACTTATTGCACCAATTCAGCAGTGCAGCTGAAAAGAGCAGACCACTTATCATAACATTATATCAAAATGGCTGACAAAATATATATATGTATCATAACAAATTAAAATTATATACAGTACAATCTTTCAAAATTGTATAATGCATTAGTTATTGTTGTTTGATGTTTTCTTATCTTTAATTAACTTACTATCACAGGGATAAGATATAAAACAAAAGAAATATTGATAATTTTAATTATAGATGGGTGAGCCATCAGGGTTAACTAATAGCGAAGCCCGTGAGCTTTGCAAAACACCAGATCCTGCAACAAATGGGTATATCATGCAGCAAACAATGTATCGCATCAAGGACCCGAGGAAATCTCTACCTTTTTATACTGAAGTACTTGGTATGACTTTACTTCAAAAAGTTGACTTCCCAGAAATGAGATTCTCTTTGTATTTTCTTGGATATGAGAATCCAGAGGATATATCAACTGACAAGAGGAAAAATATTGAATGGCTATTCACTAGAAGAGGAACTATAGAGCTCACTCAGTAAGTTTGAATAAAACATGATTTCTTTGAAGGTATTAATTTATACATGGAAGATATATAAATTGTATATTTTAGCAATTGGGGAACTGAAACAGATCCAGATGCAAAATATCACAATGGAAACTCGGATCCTAGAGGATTTGGTAAACAAATTATTAAATATCTAATCGCTATTAAAGCATTGATTTTTTAGAAGTATTACCTAAGATAAGAAAGATTAAACAATACCAGCTCTCTCTGAAAAAGTTAAAATATTTTATGAAAAGTTACAAATGTACGAAATTAAGAAAATAGAATTAAAGACTTATATAAAGAATTCATTATATTAAAAAAATCTTTATAAAAGTTAAAAATGTTTAAAAATATTTTTTCAGTAAAGTTCTCTAAACATAAGACAGAGAGAAAGAGAGAAATTGCAAATTACCATATATGACATTTTACTCTAACGCAGTAATTTGCGAACAGTTTTATGCAATTTTATTTTCTCATTTTCGATATTTATTTTTGGATTTGAGGTTATGTTGTCAGTCTAAAGTAAACATAAGTGAAAAAATCAATTCCTTTCAATTCAGTTTTCTTTTGAATCAGTTCCATTTCTACACAATAATATTTACGTTATCATGAAAGAATACATTTGTTATCATTGGAAAAGTTGATTTTTCGACCTATATATACTAAACATTTTTCTACTCAGGATTATCTACTTTGTCTTCGTCTTGAACTCTTTTTTAATGTCCTGTATGTTGTCTTAAACTATATAGGTCATATTGGAGTAGCAGTACCTAACGTCACAAAAGCTTGTGAAAGGTTTGAGAAGTTTAATGTGGAATTTGTGAAGAAACCAGATGACGGCAAAATGAAAGGAATCGCTTTTATTAAGGATCCCGATGGTTATTGGGTCGAAATTTTTAATGGCACCGACATTGCAAACAGTCTAAAGTGTTAAGCCATTAATGTCTTGCACTAAAGCAATAAATGTTTAAGTGCAATCAGTTGCATCAAAAATAATATTATATAATTTTACGTAACAATCAGGAAGATTATTACCAAATCCAGTATATAAACATAAACCAAAACTGCTGTGTAAGTTAATGAGGATAATAACAATATGTATTTATGTACTCTATATTTTCTAGCGATTGTATATTTTCTTATATTACATTGTGTTATATATGTACAGAATATGTAACATCTACATAATTTTCAACGAATAAAATCAAAATATTTATTTTTTGCATATAGTTATTATTATTGCATTGCACACATTTTTGCATTGCACAATATTTTAATCCCAGAATGGTAATGCTCGCCTCTTAACTGGCTAGTGCTAAAAAAAAATGCTCCACGCGTTAGATAACAGACGTCATTTTGCTTAACTCTATAGTCGTCGCGCTACTTTTCGAACACGAGTCGACGCATGGGATCTTAAAAGATCCCAGGATAAAAAATTATATCTTTTATGTTGAGAACTTAAGTATTTTCTTTATTTAATTACGTTTTTGGTTTCATGTAAAATATAAGAAAAGACTATTTTGAATATAATATTTTCTTAAAGACTCCATGCGACGACGGTTAAATTAGGCGTGTTCAGTGAATAGGAAAGATCCAAAAGGGGGAAGGAAATTCAAATTTTAAAGCCTACTTGAGCAAAAAATTAATTTTTAGATAAAAAATACATACTTGTCTGCTAGACAAGTATTAGTAAAACGCACTAAGTGGGAAGATGTTATAATTCCAAGGTGTTAAATTTATTTAATTAATATATATATATTTTTTAAATACTTGTATATTATTGTGATATATATTGTGATATTATAATAAGATATTGCATGAGAGAAAAATTGGAATAGATCTTTAAAATATGAAATATAATTTCCTGGATTCTATAAATTCTATAAATATATATATATGTGTGTGTACAGTTAGAATATACATGTATATTGTACTTAATATATACATGTGATTTCGTATATAAATATATATATACATGTATCATTATACTGTAGATAGTGAGTGTGAGTGTACGAGTGGCTAAGAGGGATGTCTTTTACAGCAAAGCTCTCTGAACTCAAGACAGAGAGAGAGCAAATCACCGTATATGAGGTTTTATTCTAACGCTGTAATTTGCAAACAGTTTTACACAATTTTCGTTCCCACTTTTTTGTGCGACACTCACTGACGTTTGCGCGTTTCAGTGGCCACGCTCTTGCAATTTTATTTTCTCATTTTCGATGTTCATCTCTGGATTTGAGGTTATACTGTCAGCCGCAATCTGAAGCGAGTGTATCGTGATAGGTGAATATTTTACTTGAATTTTCATTGTGACATGCAGATTTTTATGTAGATGTTTTATAATGTTTAGTGATTAGTTTTTTGTGTTCCCTCGAGATATACGTATATCCATTATTTTAATGGGAAATGAGTTTCTTTTCGTATCTTATTATAGGAAAGTATTGTCATTTTGATTTCTTAGGTATGGTAGAAGATAAAAAATATCAAATCGCAAGCCGCATCGAGTGTGACGGATATCGGGGTACATTGAAGTACGTTGGACCTGTCGGAAATACAAAGGGCCAGTGGCTAGGTATAGATTGGGACGATTCGACTCGTGGCAAGCATAATGGCACATACGAAGGAGTAGAATACTTTCAAGCTAGGTAAAATTTGTAAAATGGAGAATAATGTTAACAGTAGCGATAGTAGTGATCTGTACTATTTTTGCATTAATTCTATATTGTGATTTTTAATAGACATTCCACATCAGGCTCTTTTATACGACCGGCCAAAGCCAAGTTTGGGATATCTTGTCCTCAAGCCATCGAGATGCGCTATGGGCTAATTGATGATGAATTAGCAGGCATAGACAGGGAAGAGGTGTCAAGTTTGAGGAAAGAAATCAATGCACCGTTTTTAGAATTGGTTGGTTTTTCCAAAGTGAATAAGAAACAAAGTAAATTCGATCAGTTGAAGATAGTATGGCTGAGAGAACAGTGTGTAAGCAACACTGGCAAGCCAGGAGAACTAGCAGAGTTGTGCCCAAATTTGGAGGAACTGGATATATCTAGAAATTTAATTAATTCATGGAAAACTATAGCGGACATATGCTCTCAGCTTCATTCTCTTATACGTCTTGATGTCAGGTAAGTAATACAAAGTTTAATGGGACTCTATAAAACTTTCTTTGAATGTTTAACAATATTAAATAAATATTAAACAAATTAGAAGTCTTAAACTAGAGATCAGGAAGAACCATACATTCAGAAATTATATTACTGCAAGAAGACTTACTTATATATCCACTTTACAGTGAGAACCATCTGCCTGTCGAGCAGGATGTAGTAGCATTGAAAAACTCATTTCCAACAGTTAAACACTTGACAATAGCTAGGATGAATTATAATTGGCCTGACATTCAACAGTGTGTTTCTATGTTTTCATCAGTTGAGGAATTATCAGTTTCTTTTAATTTTGTCACAACTATAGAAGATGTATCATCAAGTACTAACTTTATGAAAATAGTTACTTTAATATTGGAAGGAAATTTAATATCAAGTTGGGATGAGATACTTAAGTTGGGTTCTCTTCCATGGTAAGTTACTGTATAACATATTCAATTGTAGTACGTTTGAGAAGTGTAGAAAATTTGAATTTTATACAACATTAAAAGAATTACATTTACAGCTTAGAATATCTTAATCTGAATTCGAATAAAATAGATAGAATCAGATTTCCACCTTCAACATCGACAGATAAGACTGCACTTTTCCCCGCTTTACGGCAACTGCATATTTCTGAAAATCACATATCAGAGGTAATATAAATGTGTTTTATAAATCTAATTTGTCTCATGTATATAGTATATAGAACAGTTAAAATCTTGATTTAAAAAAAAAGTTATAATTATTGTTCGATATAATTTTAGTGGCAGTCAGTTAGTGAACTCGATAAGCTGCCAAATCTAGAAGATCTAAAATTCAGAGAAAATCCTATTTTGAAGAATGAAGCTTTGGAGACTGCTAGACAGTTGGTAATTGCGAGAATAGCGATATTAAAGATTTTAAATGGCACAGAGATACTTTACGACGAAAGGAGAGGTGCTGAATATGATTATTTAAAATTGTATTTACCGAAATGGCAAGAAACTGAAAATGATACAGACAAAAGGACGTTATTTTTGAACGAACATCCACGATATCCTATTTTAGTAGACAGTATGTATAGCTTTTATATTCTTTACACGAATAAAATAAATTATATATTTTTGCGAAATAAGATTTGCATAAACTAAACTTACAGGAAAAATGTTATTCTTTTATGTTTTCAGGATATGGAATTGCGGATATTCCTTCGGCCAAACCGAAAGTAGAAATGGTCTCGAATATAATAACTGTAGAATTTTTATGCCCGGACGATCCGCGTCAGCCTAGAGGAATCAAAAGAAAGTTACTTAAAGATATGGAGGTCCAGAAAATGATCGGGCTTGCCCAAAGACTTTTTAAAACCGGCGGCAAAATACCTGCTCTTTCATTTATCCCACGAAATGTAAGTTCGATATTGAACGATGACGTGCAGAAAATATTTATACAATCGTTTACTATTGACGTGTATATTGCATTTTATATTATTGCAGTTATCAAACGATGAAATTTCGTTGGATAAACCGCTGCAAGAACTTAGTTACTATTCAATACAAGACGGCGATCAGGTTCTTGTGAGATGGTGATATTAAATGAATTATTTATAGATATGACTGTATTTTCTACGCTGTTAAAATCTACGATACGATTTGTTATTAAATCTTTTTTAATTGCATCGATTCCTTAATAAACCTTGCTGACAGATTGTGACATTCGACGAAATGAGCTTATAGGCTAACGGGAGAAATATTTGTTTCTCTGTTGGAAAAAAAAGTATATCCGTTATATATTTTACATTCCGTAAAGTACACTTGCGATCAGAAGTACAAATTTATAAATAGATGTTAGCATGAACATCGTGTGATATATTTTCTGTAAATGGCACAGATCACAGATATAATTAATTAGCCTAAGACAGATTTCTCGGCCTATTGTCAATATTATTAGTTTATCAATTTTGCTGCGCCTTCTCTTCGATTCTGGCGGTCTCTTCTTTTTCAAGTTGTTCCCTTGTTAATAGTGACAATCCAAGTTGATTTTCGCGCGTGAACGGCTGCGCCATTTGTCGTAACCACCTTTTGCTGATCTAAAAATTGTGAATAAATTATTGACTGTATAAAACTCACAAAATTGTAATCATTAATCTCATACCTATTACCATAAGGAAAAATTAAGATTACCTGTATAGCTTCCTCAGTAGATAAGTTACATAGGCTGTCGCTCAAATGCTCCTGTATCCATTTCGGTAATTTGCTTCGTTTATCTGCCCTCGAGAATCTCTACGATGTTATGGAAATGAGGAAATTATTATCAAAAAGATATAACTGAATTATAAAGACACAACTGAGATTTTCCTCAATTATTTACCTTATCTGCGAACACCATAATACCATAATCTGTTTTGCCTCTGATCGCACGTCCCACACATTGCGCTGCGTGTCTCATGGCGTCGAAAGTCAAGAAATCGTTTTCCCGTATCTAAGGATATCGTAGAAGCATATGCATTTTATTCAAGCGTGCACGAATACCAAATAATATCAATATTAACCTGTACTCACTTGAAACTGGTCTCTGAGATATTCTAAACGTGCTTTCAAGATTCGCGATTGCGTATACACGTAAGGTATGCCGAACATCAGCACAGCTCTACCCAAGTGATGATCGAAGTCTACACCTTCGGATACCTTTCCACGAGCAACTGAAAGCAACACCGCTCCTCTTCCATTTTCGCAAGCCTTTATGTAATTGATCAGAGCTAAACTGGTCTCCGCTGAATCTTGGGTCTCGATGAACAACAACTTGTGCCTCTGAAGTTGGTCCACTACTCCTTGATCGTACCTATGATATAAGCACAATGGCATAAGCATATAAAGAAACTTCAACGCGATAAAATATGCTTACGCACCAAGCGGCCACTACAGATTCCATGTACAAGTACGATGTGAAAAAGCAAACTAAACCATCCGGCACCGTCGCGGAGAATTCAACCAGTAGCTGGCCGTAATTTCTGATCACTGCCACATCTTCTCGCGTTTCATATTTCGACGAAATAGCCACTTGATCGTTACCTTTCGCTACGATCTTGGAAATGCAAACATATGTAAAGCATTAGTACATATTAAATAATGTTATCTGAGGTGTATCTCATACTTGCGGGGTGTACTTTCTTTTGCCTATTTTTCAAATTAATTTTAATTTTTTTACTTACCATAGGCAAAAGACACGGTCTGGCTAACGTCATAGTGAACGACGACATTATGACTGGATGGAAGTTGAGAATCTTGGGATACATGTCTAATGGGGACAGCGTCCCGGAGGTAATTATCACAGACTGAAATCTATCGAATATAGGTTTGATAGCGATGGAAGAGTCCAAACAACTGAAATGCAAAATAGGATTCAAGACAGTCGGGGTTTTGTCATCAAATGGCTCCACGATGATCGTGAATCCCTGTGTATATGTAGAGACCAGCGTCGCGAGATGCGTCACCAGAATGATCGGCGAGAAGTCCGTCATATCCGTTATCTCCATAGTGCGTAAAAGAGACGCCAATCGCTGGGCGCAGAATCGCAACGGTTTTCGCTCGATGGAGACCTTCGCTTGGATGTCCCTCAAGAACGCCGCGGGCGATTCTTGCACGACGTGTTGGACGCGTAGACGAGTCTTCAAGTACTCGACGAATCGTTTCAAGAAGCTGACAAAATGTTCGGCATTTCGTATGTTACCTGGCACGACCTCTGCGAGGAAAAGAATTTAGAGAATAAATCGTTGCTTTTTCCTGAGCGGAAAGAAAGAATACTTCATTAAATCTAATTGAACGTTCACTAACCTTCGAGTATTTCGTTTGGCAAGACAGGATTGGCCAGAATAACGTCGGTTTCTCTGGCCAGCTGAGCATCCCTCAAACCCGCGACTAATCTGTCGTACTCCTCCTTCAGTTTATTCACATCACAGTCTCTCATTCTAAATCAAAATACACGCGGTTGACAATACTATAGTTATACATAATTCTAATATGCAATATGTGTAAAAAAAAAATGTTCTTACTCAGCTACAGTTTTCTCCAAAAGCTGTATGTTATTCGAACTTCTCTCCATCAGCTTCCTATTTATCTTCACACTCATGGAGTCGATGCAGACGTTATCTGAAATTTATGATTTGTTTTCTTTAAACCCAAATAATTGGGTTGAATAAATATAATTTTTATCTCAATTTTTGTACCAATATTGTGAGCCTCGTCGAAAACAACTACTGAACTCTTGCTCAATTCTTTGGAGACAGTTTCCGCAATTTTTGGGTCCAATAAATAATGATAACTGTATACTACAATTTGTGCATGCAAGATCTGAAGAGAGAAGTCAAGCACCATTAATTTCATTTTATTTAGATTACATCTTATTATATTTTAATAATCCAACAACATGCATAGATAAATGAAACAAAATGAATTTTAAAATTTATAGAATTTCTTACTGTAAATCTTGCAAGAAAATACGGACACCATCCGCGATCCTTTCCATAATCCTTCAAATCATCCAGAGAATAAATACCAGCAGGTACAATTTGTTCTCTACCCTCTATGTCAAATCCTTCATAATAATTGCAAATGGGAGTAGATTCATCATGATTATGTCTTTCTCGTACATATGACGCAGTAAGAGAGTGACAACGACCATCCACAATTTTACCTTCTCGTTCTCTACTGACCTGCATATCAAAGTATAAGGTATATAGTGTGTACAATCATCTGATGATTAATTATGAGATTATTTCATCAATTTTACTAAAACATTTTTTAAAAGATTTTCAGTTATTAAAAGAAGATAAATAAAATATTCAAAATTACCTCAGGATGTATACACATATTTTTACGTGAACTAAGAACTAAACCAACTATTTTTGGCTTACTCTTAGTTTCTTTCTCATAATAGTCTATGAGTTTCTTCAACTCCTCTATAACTTTCTCTATCTCTGGTACTGTTCGAGAACAGTAAATCAACTTTGTTACATTCAAGGGATATTCCAACATGTATGCCACAATGAGTGATAGAAGAGTAATTGTTTTGCCAGTACCTGAAGGCATTTCCAGTAGGCAATGTCCCTAAAGAATATAGTTTATTAATTGAATATCTCAATATTCAAGAATACTAATACTATAACAGAGACAAAGAATAATACCTTGGCATCCAAACCACGTTTGAGCTCAAGCATGTAAGCATATTGCTCTGGATAAATATAATCGTATGGAAAATATACGATTAATCCGTCAACGCTTATCCTGCAGTAAGAAAAATACTTATAAATCACCATAAAAACATAAGCGTTTTTAATTCAATAAAGTACTTGTACTTACTTCATATTACGATTCGTACTATACTACATACAGTAATTATTAATAGTAATTATATATTTAATATAAAATGTTATATTTATTTATAAAAAATTTGTAATTTAAAAACAGAAACAGTCTGTCTTTTTGGTTATGTTTGGTTACACCAACATCGTAGTTTGTGAATATTTTCTACGACGCGCTCGACGTTGTTTCTAGCCGTTACTACTTCACTTCCTCCGTTAAATAAAGTGGCGGCTCGTAGTGCAAACTTTGGAACTAATTTTAAGAAATAACGGGCTTAAGAGAGAATACATTCATGGCCATTTTCACTATCTCCGATTACCTTAACTACTGGTTCAATGTGCACGGTGATTGATTAAGCCCGTATCAGTCTACCGACTGCACAGGCCGACCCGACTGCCGACTACGACTCCCGACTCTCAATCGACCAATCACAGTGAGGCGCCGACTCCGCACCTCACTGTGATTGGTCAATTGAGAGTCGGCAATCGTAGTCGGCAGTCGAGTCGGCCTGTGCAGTCGATAGTCTGATACAAGCTTTAGGCTGATATTTCACGTGACGTACGACAAGCTTTTTGGATACGTTCATTGGTTGACGAACAGAGAACCTAGAAATATTCTATTCGCCAACCAATAAACGTATCCGAAAAGCTTGTCGTACGACACGTGAAATAGCACCCTTAATCTTGTTAAAATAGAAGTGCGATTGGTCAGTTACAACGGAATAACTAGAAGGTTAAGGTAACCGGAGATGGTGAAAATGGTCATAAACCCATTATTTTGAACGTGGATTATAGGACGCCACTATGGGCTGCGTTCTAAAACTCTACTCGACGAGTAGAGAACATTTAATTGTCCAAACATAATAAAAAAATCCTAGTTTTCTTTGCTTTTAGTGGCCAATTAAATGCTAATATATCCGTCGAGTAGAGTTTCGGAACACAGTCCAGTAGTTCAGAATTTTGTTGTTTGTAGCGTTATGTCTGCACTAGAGAACTTCTAGTACAGAGAATCGCCAACTTGGTCACCAACTGATTGGCTGGCATAATATATACGGATTTAGATATTGCGACGCCAATGCAGAACAAATGGTATATTATATATATATATATATATATATATATATATATATATATATATATATATATATATGGTTTTGCATCGCGTCGCAATGTCCAAATCCTACATGTTTATGCCAGCCAATCGCAGAGTAGCTGAGTAGCTGGTCACATGACTAAGATGGCATTCCCTGTTCTAGAGGTTCTCTAACTATTGGATATCGTATTATTCGCGCATGCGCAGCAGGTCTCTTGCCGCGTATAAAATCTCGCGACTCGCACCATTAGTTCTCTAGTCTACGCATCCGCAAAGAAGCAGTAATTTCGTCCTCCGCTATCTACTGAGATTGGATGATCGAGTGCGTACACGTGGACGCAGATAAATTGAAAATAATTTTACGAGAAACAGACACATAATCTACGATACATCATGGGTAGACCAGGTAATGTAAACATGTATAACATATTTTCAATTATTACTTTTGTCGTATGGTAATTGTTTCCAATGTGGTAACCGGTAACTTTCCGGTAACCTCAACGTGAAGAGATGCATTTTGAAAATTAAGGCCATCACACACAAAATTACATAGACGCATATGCATAGCATAAGATAGTATGGACCAATGAGCATCGAATATTAAGTATCAATCATCAATATGGCGACTTAATATTCAATGCTGATTGGTCCATATGATCTTATGCTATGCATATGCGCTATATAATTTTGTGTGTGATGGCCCTTAACGTTGCTACAATCCCAGACACTGTTTTGTTTCATATTATTCAACTTTGTAGCTATTTCTGTTTACGATATTCATAGGCTGCATTCAGCAGACTCAACAGTTGCACAACAGTTGAGTAATTTGTCAATGTAATTGGTCTAGATTTAGGGATCTAATAGCAAGAACCAATAATCGTTGATTGCTCACTGAGCGTTTTTTCTACTGAATATGCCCATAGATATATCTTTATGTTATCGCAAAGATATTTTCCTTGATCGCGCATGTGGTCGTTTTATCTTAAACAATGTAACCCAACTTTGCCTGACAATTTCGTGAAACATGCGTAGGACTATCGCACACAAATTGACAACTGCATATGCATAGCATAAGACCGTATGTACCAATGAGCATCGAGTATTAAGTCGCCATATTGGTGTTCGATGCTTAATATTCGATGCTCATTGGTCCATACGATCTTATGCTATGCATATGCAGTTATGTCAATTTGTGTGCGATAGCCCTTAGGCCCGTGTAGTATGTATTTATGTGCATAAACGATAAACTTCATTGTTTCTATACAATTTAAGGTAAATATCCCAATGCCCGGACATGTACCTAATTTCGGACACTTATTGTTTTGAATATTTCTCTAAATATTTCATCTTTCAACGTACACTAAATATAAATATTAAATGTATGTATACCAATATATATATATATATATATATATGTATTGTACGATGAAGGTTGAAATATTCAAATTCTAATATAAAAAGAATAACAATGTCTGGAGATTGATACATGTCCGGGCATTGGGATATTTATCTTCCACTTATAAGGTGCGTTTGGGGAGCTCGCTATTAGCGGTACACAGCGCTGCCGTCTCTTTTTACCTCTGTTGTATATCTAAGGGACAATAAAGATAGAAAAACGCTGTAGCGTTAGTAACGTGCTCCCCGAACGCATCCATAGTAATAATGATTTAAAGAAGTGTAGCGCATTGTATTAAAAGATTATTTAATTATAGTTTATTATAATTAATTATAATTATTATAATTATAGTTAATTATAGTTAATTATAATTTTACTGGGTGCTTTCCAACTGCATACACTGTATTACACAAAAACAGTTTATTGGTTGCATATTATCTTGCAAGATATTTTAGGTAATATATGACTAATAAACTGATTTTGTGTATGTGTGTGTCAAGATGTGTTAAGCAACTAGAAAGCACCTACTATTATATTAAGAACATTAAATATGTAAAATACAAATATGCTTAATTTCAAAATTTGTCTTGTGTGTCTTTATTACTACAAATAATAATGTAGTAAAATTTAATAATTCTATTACAAATGTTAGGTTACATATATATTCATTATGTATATACATTCATTTTTAACTTCAATACAAATTGCAGGATTTGTGCCACCTTTTAGAGGACGAGGAGGAAGAGGAGGTTGTGGTGGTCGCGGAAGCAGTCGAGGAAGCAGTCGAGGTGGAGGTTTTGGTGGCAGAGGTGGAAGAGGTGCTTCACGAGGTGGTTGTGGATCATCAAGAGGAGGACGTGGAGGCCTGAAGGGTGGTAGGAAGGTGGTAATAGAGCCACACCGTCACAGAGGGGTCTTCATTGCTAGAGCAAAGGAAGACGTTTTAGTGACTCTCAATTCTGCATATGGGTCAAATGTTTATGGGGAGAAAAAAATCTCCGTCGAGGTAATTGCTGATTTATTCATACTTATGTTTGTATTTAACTTTGAATTGATATCTTCAAAATGTTGTACATTACACAGGATGTGAAAGGCGAAAAAATTGAGTATAGAGTATGGAACCCATTTAGATCCAAATTGGCTGCTGCTATTCTTGGTGGTATTGATAAGATCCACATGGACCCAGGAAGCAAAGTTCTGTATCTGGGTGCTGCCTCTGGAACTTCTGTGTCTCATGTTGCTGATATAGTTGGTCCAGTAAGTATTCTTTACGCAGAGGGCTATCTTATCTTTTTCTGGAAAATGAGAAATCAGTTATGCACACGTTAGAGCCAGGTTAGCATATAATTACCAACTTGGTGTCGAAGTGCTGCTAGAACAATTACATGCTCGTTTCTTCATCGAGTAAGACTTCAGTTTTACTTTGAAAAGGAAACGTGCGTACAAATCTCATATCAGTGATAAAATCTGTTTGATTCTATTTATCATTTTCAATGTTTACAGGAGGGAATGGTATACGCTGTGGAATTTTCCCATAGGTCCGGTAGAGATCTCATAAACGTCGCTAAGAAGAGGACTAATATCATTCCTATCGTCGAAGACGCGAGACATCCTCAGAAATATAGAATGCTCGTGGGTATGGTAGACACTATATTCTCAGATGTGGCACAGCCGGATCAGGCTAGAATAGTCGCGTTGAACGCACAATACTTCCTCAAGAATGGCGGACACTTCGTTATTTCCATCAAGGTGAGCGTTCGCGATTAATTTGTGCGTCATTACCACATCGTATACACTTATGAGAATGAAGATTTTGTATTGATCGTTTGTGACGAATTTCAGGCAAGTTGCATAGACTCCGTTGCAGCACCCGAAGCAGTATTTACGGCGGAGGTACAGAAACTCGCTGCGGACAAATTGAAGCCGCAGGAACAGATCACGCTCGAACCATACGAGAGAGATCACGCTGTCGTCATCGGCGTTTACAAGCCGACACCAAACTGACAAGAAGGCTACCTAGAATAATGTGTAAATAGTTACATGTACATACGTAATTGCTAAGTTCTATACTATATAAAACTTTAATATTAATCATATTTGTTCGCATTCCATTCATTTCCAGCCACTTTCCATTCAAAGTATCAATTCAAAGTTAAATACAAACATAAGTATGATTAAATCAGCAATTATCTTGACCGTGATTCTCTTCTCCCTATGTACATCTGACCCAGGTGCATAATTCAGGGTTACTAACACATCCTCTTTTCCTCTGGCTATAAACACACCTTGGTGACGATGTGGCTCTATGGGAGCGGTGCACTTGGACACGGTGCATTTGGACACAGCCAATCACAGCACCGTGTGATTAGAGACATTTGTAGGGTCCCTTGGAACAGCGACTTGTGATTGGACTGTGTCCAATTGCCCCGTGTCCAACTGATATACACTCTGGCTCTATTACTACAGTCCCACCCTTGAGGCCTCCACGTCCTCCTCTCGATGCTCCACGACCACCTCGTTCTCCACGTGGAGCACCTCTCTATCGAGATAGAAATGTAGGGATGTTCGATTTTAACATTAAAAACTTGATTAACAATGAAATAGTTTGTAATATAATGTAAATGTGAAAACACGCACTTGCGTGTGTGCATTTGTCGTAAATTCAGATATTTTATAACGCGAGAGCGCGGTTACTACCATTAATATCATACCTGCCTGTATTCGAAAAATTCGCAAGGTAACGAAATAATTCAGCGATAAATATGATTGAACGTTATTTCATTTATATTTTTATACGAACATGAATAAGAATTAGGAAACCGATATATGTTACATACGTTGGGTGATATGAAACCTCAACATAAGAGAAAGTAAATGATAATCATCATAGCATCCATAAATATGATGATGAGAATACTTTTAATAAATATTTCTGTTGTCATAAGATAGAATTATTTCTTCACAACTGTAGGACAATGTTATCTTTACCTTGTTCGTTTAAATTTACTTTGATGTATAATGAGCGAAATTGTAATAAGGAATACATCGTATTTCTTGATGAGTTTTTGCTGATCTAAAAATTGTAAATAAATTATTAACTGTATAAAATTATTGTAAATAAATTGACTGTATAAAATTATTGTAAATAAATTATTGACTCACAAAATTGTAATCACTAATCTCATACCTATTACCATAAAGGAAAAATTAAGATTACCTGTATAGCTTCCTCATTAGATAAGTTACATAGACTGTCGTTCAAATACTTCTGTATCCATTTGGGTAATTTGTTTCGTTTATCTACTCTCGAGAATCTCTACGATGTTATGGAAACGAGGAAATTATTATCAAAAAGATATAATTGAGTTATGAAGACACAACTAAAATTTTCCTCAATGATTTACCTTATCTGCGAACATCATAATCTGTTTTGCCTCTGATCGCACTTCCCACACATTGCGCTGCGTGTCTCATGGCGTCGAAAGTCAAGAAATCGTTTTCCCGTATCTAAGGATATCGTAGAAGTATATGCATTATATTCAAGCGTGCACGAATATCAAGTAATTTCAATATTAACCTGTACTCACTTGAAACTGGTCCCTGAGATATTCCAAACGTGCTTTCAAGATTCGCGATTACGTCTACACGTAAAGTATGCCGAACATCAGCACAGCTCTACCCAAGTGATGATCGAAGTCTACACCTTCGGATACCTTTCCACGAGCAACTGAAAGCAACACCGCTTCTCTTCCATTTTCGCAAGTCTTTATTTATGTAATTAATCAGAGCTAAACTGGTCTCCGCTGAATCTTGGGTCTCGATGAACAACAACTTGTGCCTCTGAAGTTGGTCCACCATTCCTTAGTCGTACCTGATATGATATAAGCATAATGGCGTAAGAATATGAACGTTAAAGAAACTTCAACGCGATAAAATATGCTTACGTACCAAGCAGCCACTATAGATTCCATGTACAAGTACGATGTGAGAAAAAGCAAACTAAACCATCCGGCACCGTCGCGGCGAATTCAACCAGTAGCTGACCGTAATTTCTGATCACTGCCACATCTTCTCGCGTTTCATATTTATCGACGAAATAGCCACTTGATCGTTACCTTTGGCTGCGATCTAACGTTGGAAATGTTGCAAACATATGTAAAGCATTAGTACATATTAAATAATGTTATCTGAGGTGTATCTGATACTTGCAGGGTGTACTTTCTTTTGTCTATTTTTCAAATTAATTTTAATTTTTTAACTTACTATAGGCAAAGGACACGGTCTGACTAACGTCATAGTGAACGACGACATTATGACTGGATGGAAGTTGAGAATCTTGGGATACATGTCTAATGGGGACGGCGTCACGGAGGTAATTATCACGGACTGAAATCTGTCGAATATAGGTTTGATAGCGATGGAAGAGTCCAGACAACTGAAATGCAAAATAGGATTCAAGACGATCGGTGTTTTGTTGTCGAATGACTCCACGATGATCGTAAATCCCTGTGTATATGTGGAGACCAACGTCGCGAAATGCGTCGCCAGATCGGCGAGAAATCCGACGTATCCATTATCTCTATAGTGCATAAAAGAGACGCCAATCGCAACAGTTTTTGCTCGATGGAGTCCTTTGCTTGGATGTCCCTCGAGAACGCCGCGGGCGATTCTTGCACGACGTTTTGGACGCGCAGGCGAGTCTTCAAGTACTCGACGAATCGTTTCAAGAAGCTGATCTCTGGATTGAAGAACAGTAAATCAACTTTGTTACATTCAAGGGATATTCCAACATGTATGCCACAATGAGTGATAGAAGAGTAATTGTTTTGCCAGTATCTGAAAGTATTTCCAGTAGGCAATGTCCCTAAAGAATATAGTTTATTAATTGAATATCTCAATATTCAAGAATACTAATTTTGTATAACAGTAACAAAGAATAATACCTTGACATCCAAATCACGTTTGAGCTCAAGTATGTAAGCATATTGCTCTGAATAAATATAATCGTATGGAAAATATACGATTAATCCGTCAACGCTTATCCTGCAATAAGAAAGTGTACTTATAAATCACCATAAAAAAATAAGCGTTTTGAATTCACTAAAGTACTTGTACTTACTTCATATTACGATTCGTATTATACTACATACAGTAATTACTAGTAGTAATTATATATTTAATATAAAACGTTATATTTATTTATAAAAAATTTATAATTTAAAGACAGAAACAGCCTGTCTTTTTTGTTATGTTTGGTTGAACCAACATCGTAGTTTTTGAATATTTCTTTTGACGCGCTCGATGCTGTTTCTAGCCATCACTACTTCACTTCCTCCGTTAAAGAAAGTGGCGGCTCATAGTGGAAACTTTGGAACTAATTTTAAGAAATAACGGACTTAAGTACTAGAGATGCCCGATTCTGTATCGATATTGATTCGATTCTTTCCCCAAAAATAGCTTTATTCGTGTTGTTTGTACTCTTCGCATTTTTCGTATTTAAAACTAGTCAGAAGTATATTGGAATGTTTCGAAGAAGCAAAAACGAAACAACCAACTCGATTGTTTCTTATAAGCGTCTGATTAGATGTCCATCTCTTTCTAATAGAGAAAAGTGTGAAACATACAAGCAGCACGAACAACCCTTTTTCCTAAATTTGTTAGGGAAAGAATCGAATCGATTAAGAATCGGGCATCTCTAGTACTTAATAGAGATTCGATTCTTTCCCTAACAAATTTAGGGAGAAAGTATTGTTTGTTCTGCTTGTATGTTCCATACTTTTCGCTTTTAAAAAGAGATGGACGCCTAATCAGACTTGGGTGTTTACGTTAAATCGAGTATAAGTTAGTTCCACTAGGATCGAAAAATGTAATAGACACAACCATTTAATATCTTCATGGTTCAAGACAACTCAGTACTGCTTTCCGATGATCGAGTATAGTTAGAGTTAGCTAGAGTAGATAGCAGATAACGTGAGCATCAGGTAGTTGATTTTCAAAAAATGTTAGTTATTAATAAGCCGCAACCTACCGGGATGTAACACTGTACATTTTACTAAGGCCTGGTTGCACCAACATTATTTTGGCTTTAAGCGAAACTTAAATATATATCTATTTTTATCTTTTTATATAAATAAAGATAGATATATATTTAAGTGAACCACTTAAAACCAAAATAACGTTGGTGCAACCGGGCCTAAGGCCATTTTTCATACTTATCACTTGAGAAACAGACGCCACATGCATTATGACTCCTGCACACAGGACGCGGTAATGCTTGCCGCGCGACGGAAGTTCAATATGCTGTTTTCCGTAATAACCTTCTAGCTCTTACGGAAAAACAGCATATTGATTGGCTGTCGCACGGACTTCCGCCGCGCGGCAAGCATTACCGCGTCCTGTGTGCAGCCATTACTGAACCTGCACTACCTCAAAATAATGTGCGGAATTAGCCGGAAGTCAGTAATTCCCTAGGACCTATTTTCGTGAGAAAGGTAGTAAGTTTTGTTTTCTTACAGTATACTGAAAATGATTTCGGAACGTGAAAACAGTACTGTAAGCTCTGTCAGCGCAATTCGGAACGCAGAATATATATATATATATATGGTTTTGCATCGGCGTCATAATATTCAAATCCGTACATGTTATGCCAGCCAATCGTAGCTGAGTAGCTGGTCACATGACCAAGTTGACGATTCTCTGTACTAGAGGTTCTGTAGTCTGCACATCCGGAAAGAAGCAGTCATATTGTCCTCCGCTTTCTACTGAGATTTGATGATCGAATGTGTACACGTGGACGTAGATAAATTGAAAATAATTTTACGAGAAACAGTCAAATAATCTACGATACATCATGGGTAGACCAGGTAATATGAACATGTATAACACATTTTCAATTATTACTTTACGGTTGTCGTATGGTAATTGTTTTCAACGTGGTAACCGGTAACCTTCCGGTAACCTCAACTTGAAGGGATGCGTTTTGAAAATTAACACGTTGCTACAATCCCAGACAGTTTTATTATATATTATTCAGCTTTGTAGCTATTTCTAGAACCGTTCACGATATTCATAGATGTATATTTATGTCATCGCAAAGATATTTTCCTTGATCGCGTAGCGTGGTCGTTTTAGGCAATGTAACCCAACCTTGCCTGACAATTTCGTGAAACATGCGTTACACGCGTGTCGTATGTATTTATGTGTATAAACGATAAACTTCATTGTTTCTATACAATTTACACCTATAAGATGCGTTTGGGCAGCTCGCTATTAGCATTACTCAGCGCTACCGTGTCATTCTATCTTTGTTGTATATCTAAGGAACAATAAAGATAGAAGAACGCGGTAGCGTCAGTAGCGTGCTTCCCGAGCGCATCCATAATAATAATGATTTAAAGAAGTGGGTAATTATCCAGTTTAGCGGCATCACCTCCGATTTCGATGAAAATAGGCTCAATCGACGCGTTTTTGTTAAAGAAATAACTTTTTCCTCTGACAAAATCGTCGCTCTCTACTGCGAAGCGAGAAATTGTTAAAGATACTAGATATGATAAGTTAAGAAACCCGTCATTGCAACGTAAAGTCTATCAGTTAGAGTTGCATTTACTGTATTAGTGTAACGCAGTGTGCAACAACTTCATGAAAATATTTAAATTAAGAATATTTTTAATATATTAGACATTTGTAACATGGGAAAGATATCGAACAAGCGGGGAGCTGCGTCCTCCGCACCTCCCCCAAACTAACCGAATCCAACCTATCGTCGTTCGAATCTTTCCCGTGTTACAAATGTCAAATATATTAAAAATATTCTTAAGTATTTTCATGAAGTTGCTACATACTGCGTTACACTAATACAGTAAGTGCAACTCTAACAGACTTTATGTTGCAATGACGGGTTTCTTAATCATACCTATCATATCTATCATACCTAGCATCTGAAACAATTAATTTCTCACTTCGCAGTAGAGAGCGACGATTTTGTCAGAGGAAAAAGTTATTTGGCATGCAAAAACGCGTCGATTGAGCCTATTTTCATCAAAATCGAAGGTGATGCCGCTAAACTGCATAATTACCACCTTACAAGATATTTTAATATGTGACCAATAAACTGATTTTGTGTGTGTGATTAAGATGTGTTAAGCAACTGGAAAACAGCCACTATTATATTAAGAACATTAAATATGTAAAATACAAATACAAATATGTTTGATTTCTTTTTCACAATTTGCCTCATGTATCTTGTTAATACTACAAATAATAATGTAGTAAAATTTAATAATTCTATTATAAATGTCAGAACATTATATATATTCATTATGTATATATATTCATTTTTAACTTCAATACAAATTGCAGGATTTGTGCCACCTTTTAGAGGACGAGGAGGAAGAGGAGATCGTGGTGGTCGAGGAGGCAGTCGAGGTGGAGGTTTTGGTGGAAGAGGTGGTAGTGGAGGTTATGGAGGTGGAGGTTTTGGTGGCAGAGGTGGAAGAGGTGCTCCACGTGGAGGACGAGGTGGTCGTGGAGCATCGAGAGGAGGACGTGGAGGCCTCAAGGGTGGGAGGACGGTAGTAATAGAGCCACATCGTCACCAAGGTGTGTTCATTGCTAGAGGAAAAGAGGATGTATTAGTGACCTTGAATTTTGCACCTGGGTCAGATGTCTATGGAGAAAAAAGAATCACGGTTGAGGTAATTGTTGATTTGGTCATATTTATGTTTGTATTAACTTTGAATTAATATCTTCAAAATGTTCTACATTATACAGGATGTGAAAGGCGAGAAAATTGAGTATAGAGTATGGAACCCATTTAGATCCAAATTGGCTGCTGCTATTCTTGGTGGTATTGATAAGATCCACATGGACCCAGGAAGCAAAGTATTATATCTGGGTGCTGCCTCTGGAACTTCTGTCTCTCATGTTGCTGATATAGTTGGTCCAGTAAGTATTCCTTACGCAGAGGTCTATCATATCTTTTTCTGGAAAATGAGAAATCAGTTATGCACACGTTAGAGCCAGGTTAGCATATAATTACCAACTTGGTGTCGAAGTGCTGCTAGAACAATCACATGCTCGTTTTTTCATCGAGTAAGACTTCAGTTTTACTTTGAAAAGGAAACGTGCGTACAAATCTCATATCAGTGATAAAATCTGTTTGATTCTATTTATCATTTTCAATGTTTACAGGAGGGAATGGTATACGCTGTGGAATTTTCCCATAGGTCCGGTAGAGATCTCATAAACGTCGCTAAGAAGAGGACTAATATCATTCCTATCGTCGAAGACGCGAGACACCCTCAGAAATATAGAATGCTCGTGGGTATGGTAGACACTATATTCTCAGATGTGGCACAGCCGGATCAGGCTAGAATAGTCGCGTTGAACGCACAGTACTTCCTCAAGAATGGCGGACACTTCGTTATTTCCATCAAGGTGAGCGTTCGCGATTAATTTGTGCGTCATTACCACATCGTATACACTTATGAGAATGAAGATTTTGTATTGATCGTTTGTGACGAATTTCAGGCAAGTTGCATAGACTCCGTTGCAGCACCCGAAGCAGTATTTACGGCGGAGGTACAGAAACTCGCTGCGGACAAATTGAAGCCCCAGGAACAAATCACGCTCGAACCATACGAGAGAGATCACGCTGTCGTCATCGGCGTTTACAGGCCGACACCAATTGACAAGAAGGCTACATAGAATAATGTATATATACTTACATGTACATACGTAATTGCTGAGTTCTATACTATATAAAACTTTGATCATATTTGTTCGCATTCAGCTTTCAGCCACTTTCCATTCAAAGCACCACTACAAAGTATCAATTCAAAGTTAAATACAAACATAAGTATGATTAAATCAGCAATTACCTCAACAGTGATTCTCTTCTCCCTATGTACATCTGACCCAGGTGCATAATTCAGGGTTACACATTCTCTTTTCCTCTGGCTATAAACACACCTTGGTGACGATGTGGCTCTATTACTACAGTCCCACCCTTGAGGCCTCCACGATCACCTCATTCTCCACGTGGAGCACCTCTCTACCGAGATAGAAATGTAGGGATGTTCGATTTTAACATTAAAAACTTGATTAACAATGAAATAGTTTGTAATATAATGTAAATGTGAAAACACGCACTTGCGTGTGTGCGTTTGTCGTAAATTCAGATATTTTATAACGCGAGAGCGCGGTTACTACCATTAATACCATACCTGCCTGTATTCGAAAAATTCGCAAGGTAACGAAATAATTCAGCGACAAATATGATTGAACGTTATTTCATTTATATTTTTATACGAACATGAATAAGAATTAGGAAACCGATATATGTTACATATATTGGGTGATATAAAACTTCAACATAAGAGAAAGTAAATGATAATTATCATAGCATCCATGAATATGATGATGAGAATACTTTTAATAAATATTTCTGTTGTCATAAGATAGAATTATTTCTTCACAAATGTGGGACAATGTTATCTTTACCTTGTTCGTTTAAATTTACTTTGATGTATAATGAGCGAAATTGTAATAATGAATACATCGTATTTCTTGATGAGTTTATTTATATATTAATACAGATTAAAGACGGACGAGAGACGAAGCGACAAAATCAGTAATAAGCCTGTTTTTTAGCTGAACTGGTGCAATAAGTTAGTGATACAAAATATAATTGTCTCAATCTAACTTATTGCGTTAGTTCAGCAGTGCAGTTAAAAAGAACAGTAAATGTCTTACCAAGTTTCTCATCGATATCGCGAAATACGCGAGATGTATTGATAGTCTGCAAAATTCACACCAGTTCGTACTTTCGTCTTGCTGTCATTAAATTATCTGAATTGTACTACTCTCCAAATTACATTTAAATTAACAAGTCCGCCGTTATATTATTTTTAGATTGATCGACGGAACGCCAAGAACCGTGTAATAATTTTCATTTTATCCTCGAAGTAGTCGCTGCACGATTTTACAAATGTAATGTTTGATACATCAAATGAGATATGTAAAACTTAATAAATTAGAAAAACTCGATATCTTTGATAATTTAAGTCGGACAATGCCGCGTACACCTTTGAACAGCGTCTGCAAGAGCGGTAAGCCGAATTATGAGAAATATTTTCGCTTTTTCTTAACTATATGGGCACGTCCTTTAGATTTTTTGTTCTGCAGATCTCGTTACCTGCGAACGTCGTACATCATCTAACAAAATATTGAATCATAAATCGACGACTATGATCGCTCGTAAAGTCAATTCGCTGAGAATGCACGACCCCAATCGCCTCGTGGGCGGTGCGGATGTTCCTGAAGAACGTACACCTGAACCTGAACCTGAACCTAAAGCTGAAACAGAACCTGTGAATGCTTCGTTAGAACTTGATACCAAAATATCACAACCACCATCACCCTCAGATTCACCGTCTACACTCGTACAAGACACCGTGCAATCGGAAGTTGAAGCTAAAGATTCTGAAGACAAGCAGCCCTCCCCCGCAAGTGGTCCCTGCTGCGTCTGTGTTTCACAGACATCAGGAGTAGTCAGGTGAATCGATTAAGATATTTTACGCATCTCAGTTATTTCGAACAAAATTTGAATTAAATTTTCCCTTAAAAATAATAAGTTTTGTTACATGTATAATGTTATTATTTATATAATTTGTCTCTATAGGGACAGGAAAGTAGATGAAATAATTGAGTACGTGCATCAGAATCTCGAAGAGGCCGTCAAAGCTCTGGCAACTTTGGGCGAGAACTTCGAACATGATTTAAAGGTTGAGCCCCACATTCAAGTAGAATGTCATAAAACTGTTTCGACATCTCGAAGGCGAAAGAGACGAGGGTACAATTGATAACCCATATTTTGGTATTGTACGAAGAACTCGTCAAATACGTACATATCCGTTTTGAGAAATGCAATAGTGAATCTTTTCTTCCTTCACTTTTACAACTAGATTAAAGGAATTTCACAATTTATCTTTTCCATCATCTCTTTTTATAAAAGCTGATGTTTGTCGACATCCTGGGCCGAATTCAACAGTGGAGCGGTATAGTGCAGAACAAACTTGGCTCTTGTAAAAATGAGGTCAACAATTTAAGTAAGGAATTATTGGCTCGGGCATGCGAAGTGGCAGATCTCAAAGCTCAAATAGCAGATTACCAGAATGTACGTGAAAGATATTTCATGTCTGAGCTTTCTTGTCTTTCTGATTAATTAAAAAGTTACAAACTCTTATCGTTTATTACAAATTCTCATCATTATTACAATAGAAACTAACATCGAGAGTGAATGGTCAACCGCGAAGAAATGATAAACGGCGAACAAATAATCAATTGAAAGAACAATATAATCTCGAAACAACACTCAAGGAAGTAGGAGAAGATAAGAAATACGATGATATTGCGGAAGAATTAGATAAAGAAAAGATTGAAGAGATCGTCGAGAGGACAGAAGATGAAGAGGAGGAACGGGAAAGAAGAGACACAGAGGAAGAATGGGAGAGAAAAGAAATAGAAGAACAAGAAAGGAGAGAAACAGAGGAAAAGAAATCTGCGAGAGACAGAAAGACAAAAGAAGACATTTTCACGACTGTGTCGGTGCAAACTATAGCGCAGGAAAAGGAGAGGATTAGACGCGAGTCCGAGGTAGCTCTCTTCAAAAGAAATTATAGAGATTGCGGCTTCTATCTTTAAATATTGCAAATTTTGCTGATAACGTTCCTTCTTCTGCTGCACAGCTTGAGACCGAGATTTCTCAGCTTCGAAAGGAGAATGACAGAATCATGAAGGAACGAGCGGAATATGAAAACGCGATTCAGCGGGCGCTACTGCGAGGAGTGTCGTCCTTAAACGTCGAGGCATTGAGGGTCCTTCGTTGTCCCCCGATACCCTGTTGTGTTCCTTGCGCTCCGTGTCCAGCGACTGCAATCGTTCCACCGTAAGATTTCGCTCCACGCTACTTAAACGATGCCAAACTCGACTCTTAATTCAATATCTAATAGTATATTAATATTAGTAGTGCAAAACGTTAATATTGATAATAATAAGAAACAACATATAAATTTAATTTTAATTAAAATTAATGAAGATATACCTTTTCCAGCGAACCCGTCGTATCGTGTCCCATGAGAAATAAAAAGAGGCGTCCGGAATCCGCTACCGCGACGATCTGTAGTAAGACCTCGAACGATAGAAACGATAGAAAGAACGAGCATCAGGCTTACAGCACGACAAAACGATCCTGCGGCACTCCTTGCTGTTCCTCCATTCCGGCCAGAAGCCGAAAGCTCACGGACAGCAACATGTTTCTTCTCCTTCGTCAGAGTGACGCGGCAAACCTGCGCGGTCCTGACAAGAGCACGACGACGGTATGCGAATCACCAGTTATGGGAAACATTGAGATACCGCTGTTACCGAAATTTGGTATGTAACATTCACAGAAATTCATGCATGTTACATTTTAAATTATTATAAAAAAAAGTGTCAAATATTGTGTCGTTATTACACTTGTGTGTCGATACGTGTTTGGTAAGTGATTCGAGACTCGGAGGAAGGAAAGAGATGGTGCGAAAGCAACGCCGTTATCGAAAATATAAATATAACTTTATGAAATAGTATCAGAAAAATATTACAAATATTGAACATTCACTTTCACAAGTAATTTGAACATTTCTTTCCGCTTGTGCGCGTTAGAAAGTATAATCGGAGAATATACTGAAGCTCAGTATCACTTCAGTCTGTTGAGGCAGGAAGTTTCGAATCACATATTCTAACGTAAATCGTTATACGCATACATAACAAACTAACTGCACGTTATCGTTGTCGTCGTTATAATGTAACGAAATGTCCGATTTCGACGCGAATACATTCGCGCTGGCCGCGAATGCACCAAGTAAAATGCAACGGCAGATAACGTATGTCCTACGTGAATTTTCACGTGTAATCTTTGTTAATTTTCACGTGAATTTTCACGTGTAATCTTTGTCAATTTTCGTGAGAGATTTCCCCGGATAATTACTCAAGTAAATAAAATAGCTGTATAAATTACTTATAATCCACTGTCGCGTGGTTTCGCTTACACGAGAAAAATGAACACATAAATTCGCGATGAATGAGCGCAACTCCGTGTGCGAAATTAGTTAATAATGCGGAACACGCGACGCGTTGATCGAAGATATCGAAACAAGTTAGTTCTACGCGATCGCCAAGATCATTTCTCCGAAGGTAGCTCAATTTTCCCCTCGGGGAACGTCTCGACGAACAGATTAGGCAAATGCGGTGTTGTATACTTTGAGAACGATGTTCGTCACGATGCGCAGCGCATGGCTGCAGCGGTGCGCATTCCGCAACACTTTCGCGAGTCCTTTTACAATTAAATGCAAATTAAAACTACGGAATGATCGCTCGCCTCGAAAAAGAGGAATCTACGGGGTGTTCGGCGGATAGGCACGTTCCTCGCACGCACCGATAACACTCGTGTGCACAGACTAAGACGACAGAAGCGTCGAGATTTTAACTGAAACAAAAGTGCCGAGAAAGCTGTCGATATCATGGGAGATGCTTAAATTATATACGAACACTTATCTATAAAACTACTTAAAAATTACCTATCGACAAATCTGTCTCTTAATTATCGAGCACCCCGTATGGTAAACCAAAATGAACGATTAAAGTAAAAGTACTGATGCCTGAACAGTGATAATACCGCTACTTAATTCCGGACATACTTATTGTTTTGGTCTTCAAATATTGATATGTATATATATAAACTTTCAATATAAAATACATATATATTATATAGAATATATATTGTAGAATTAGGAAGAGATACAGAGAGGAGATGTAGGATAGAATGTGGGATAATCATTTAGGAGTATAGATAATAAGAATATATATACATATATATATATATATATATATATATATATATATATATATATATATATATATATATATATATATATATATATATAT